GGGCCCGTCCTCGACGGCCGTCGACGTCGCCGCGACGGTCGCGGCCGTCGACGTCGCCGGGACCGCCGTCGACCGCGTCGCCGCCGCAGGCTGCGCCGAGACCGTCGTCGACGCCGCCGCGGCGTCGCCCGTCGGCCCGGCCAGCGGCGTCGCCGCCGCCGTCTCCGCGGCCTCGAGCGCGACGAGCTGCGCCGTCGTCCGCACGACGCGCTTGTCCTGGAGCCGCGATAAATCGGCGACCGTCATGCCTGCCGCGTTCGTGCCGTTCCTGTAGAGGACGTAGTCGCCGACGCAGATCACCCAGTCCTTGCCCGGGTCGCCGCAGCCGATGCCGAACCAGTCGAGCACCTGGAGGCGCGCCTCGGCGACCTCGGGCACCTTCTGCGTGTTCTTGAGCTGGACCTCGAGGGACTTGACGTCGTCCTTCTTCCAGTCCTCCTCGAGCTGGAGCGGGCCCTCCGGCCGGTACTTGTAGGCGTCGGTCCACCGCGGCTTCTTGAAGACCGCCGGCGGGAACGCGCCCGGGTCGTGGCGCCAGACGAGCTTGTAGAGCGTGCGCTTCAGGAGGTCGCGGCCGTAGCCGCCGTCGACGCTCAGCACCGCGAGCTCCTTGGCGAGCCAGGACTGGGAGTGGGCGTCGATGTCGAAGTCGGCCGCGCGGACCTCGACGAAGGGCTTCGAGCGCACGCCGAGCTCGCGGAGCGTCTTCTCCAGCGGCAGCGTCTGGAGCGGCCACACGATCGCGAACCACGACTGGAGCAGCGGGTTGGTCTCGAACGAATTGAAGTGCTCCAGGCGCTGCTGCGCCCAGAGGCGCGTCCACTGCGCGTTGTCGTCGGCGAAGGCGACTCGCCGGCCCGGAAAGAGGCCCGGGTACGCGACCTTGGCGAGGCGCCCCGCCACCGTCAAGAAGCGCCACGTCTCCGCGAAGGAGATGGTGTCGCCCATGCACCCGCGCCGCGTCTCGACGCTCGCGGCCGTCGCCCCGGTCGCCATGGCCGTGACGGCCGCGTGCCGCGGTAGCACGTTCTCGACGCCGCCCTTGGTCCTCCTGACCTTCGCGACCTCGAGGAGCTTGAGAAACACGCGCCGGCGCTTGATCAGCGCGAGCTCCGGCTTCGCCCGGGGCGTCGCCACGAGCTCGTCGAGCTGCTGCGCCAGGCCCGGCGCGGACGCGACGGCCGCGTCCAATACCTCCGCGCTCAGGTGCACTAGGTCGCCGACCTTGCTCAGCACGCCCAGCTCGGCCATCGAGAGGTCGCTGCTGTCGACGCCGACGATTAAGTCGATGTTGCGCGACGCCTGCTCGGACTGGAGCTTGGCGCGGTCCAGCGCGTCGCGGATGGCCTTCAACGCCGCGTCGAGCGTGACCGACGAAATCCCGTCGGCCTTGGCCGCCGCCGTCGCCTCGGCATCCCGCAGCTCCTCCGCGAGGGCCGCCTTCTCCTTCTCGAGGGCCGCGTTCTTGGCCTCCGCCCGCTCCACCTGCTCCTGCATGAGCTTCATGGCCGGGTCCTCCGTCTCGAGCCGCCGCTTCGGCGGCCGGCCGCGCGGCGCGCGCGCCGGGTCGCCGCTGTCGGGCGCCGACTCGACGACGGGCCCGCGGTCCGACACCATCTTCAGCGCCGCGAGCATGTTCGCGACGACGAAGGGGTCGCGGAGGAGCTCGGTGACCTGCCGGTTGAACGCGTTGAAGCGCGGCCGGCCGACGCCCTTCGGGTTCCACTTCGAGCCGCGCTGCGAGTCCTGGTCGTCGAGGAAGTAGTAGAGGGCGGCCGGCGACGGCGGCAGCGCGGCCTCGTCGATGACGTGCTTCGTGTTCCCCGTGAGGATGTCGCGGAGCCGCATGGCCTGCACGACGTCGAGCAGATCCGCGATCTTCTCCGCGCGTCGCGCCAAGGCCACGCCGACTCCGACGGCCGACCTGCGAGGGCACAGGCGTGACGAAAGAGCCCCCGAAGAACAGTAGGACACGGGGATGGACTTGGGAAAGGGAGTCGTCAGAAGCCGCGCCGTCAGCTGGTCGTCAACGCCGCGGCGCTGCCGCGTCGTCCCCAACGCCGGGGCCGCCGCGAGCACGTCGCGCACCCGCAAGAGGCCTTAGACGAAGAGCTCCGCGTCGCACGGCGTGCGGACGGCCCGGCCGTAGAAGGCCTCGGGCATTGGCCGCGGCCGCGGCGCCTGCGCCGGCGCCGAGACGGTCGGCGGCGGCCGCGCGGACGCCGGGGCCGTCGCCGACGCAGATCCCGTAGCAGATCGCTTCTCAGGCCGAAAGACGCCCCACAGCATGTCGAAGAAGCCGCGGGGCCGCTTCACGGCCGCGCCCGAGGCCTCGGGCAGCGCCTCAGGCGCCGCGGGCCGCTCGCCCGGACCGCGCGCGGGCGGCGACGAGTTCTCCTTGTCGGGCGCGGAGCTCAGGCGCCGTGGCGTGCTCGCCGACGGCGATCGGCCCCGGGACCGGGACCGAGCCCGCGACCGCGACCCGCGGATCGCGCCGCCGCCCGACGCGAACTTCCGCGCGGAGCCCCGCTCCTTCCCCGCCGGCGTGCCGCCGCCGATCGAGCTCCGCGGCGGCGTGCCCGGCGCGGCGACGACGCGCGGCGCGCCGAGGAGCCCGTTGACGTCCAGGAGGGCCGCGCTGCGAATCCCGCCCGGCGGGTGTTCCGCGCGCAACCGCTGCACCTAGGCGAACACGGTCATGAGCAAACGGTCCCAGCTCCGACAAGGGCTTTCCCCGCGCCCCGTGAAGCGGTCCCCGCCCCTCTACTACCCTCCTGAACCCCCGAGTTCGACGATTTCCCCGAGAGCGCGCACGTCGCACGATTTCCTTCCAAACCCAAACTTCCGCAACTTTCCGCAACCCGCGCCCCGGCGCCCCCGGGGGCGACCGTCCATGCGCGGCCCCGAGCCGCGTTTCGCGTCCGGGAAACACCGGGAAACCGGTTCGCGGGCCGCGCCCAGCCCGACCGAAGCGCCGGAAGCGAAAAACCGTCGGCCCGCGCCGTCTTCGTCGGACGCCGCCGCCGCACCGGCGCCCAAGGCATTGTCGCCCACGCCCGTCTCGCTCCCGCCGAGCAAATTTGCATCCGAGGGCCGCGCGGCGGCCAACGCGCTGCAACTCGCGTCGCTTTTACTGAGGCGCCCCCCCATTGGCTCGAGGGTAGCCTAAGCTATCCTAGTAGCTTCTCGCACGTCTCTCTCCGCAGGGGAGGGGCGTGGTCTACTCAGGTCAGTAAAAAAGGAGCTCTATACTGATAGACATCAGCCAAGGCAAATTGAAGGTGATATCATATTGTATCCGCCCCGTATCCCCCGCCAATTTACCCCCGCACGGGGGTTGAACGGCGGATACCATATCCCCCTGCGGGAGAACGCCTCGGATTTCCCGCGTTCGATAGCCGGCTTTACGTCGCAAGTGGAGATCTCAGGTGACTGCCAGTCGGATGGCGATCCAACAAAAAATTTCCAGATCGAGGCCCATGGGGCAGAGATCAAGCTTTCCAAAGGCATCTCTCACCATAGCCAGAAGCCTGTTGCCATCGGTTTTCTCGATTTGATATCAAGCCATGCGAACCGGGGACCTATCCCGGGGCGCCAAATACTCCAGCACTGAGGTCATTCATGTAGCAATTTTATTTTATTTAGCAGGGCCTACCTTCGTAGTACTCGCAGTGACAGCAAAGAGGCCCATGAAAGTCAAGAGATCAGCCCCCAAGAAAGCAAGCGCAATAAGGATTGAATGCACCGGTGCCAAAATATGGGCGGGCGTCTCCAAGTCTTCTCCGATGTAGACAGACCAGCATTCTTTTATGGTATAGGTTGTTACACACCATGTCTTAGCAAACACTGTTGTGGGTGTGTTGTAGATGTAAGCAGGGTTATGCACCGCGCCGGGAATCCCTGCACCTGCTAGATCGACCATCCAGCCATTGTAGTCTAGCCCAGCAGTGAGCCAATGAATGCCGTTCTGGCTATAAACTCGCAAAATGACTGCAATTTCTTCATCGGCATTCAACTTATCTGGAATTCCTTGCCAGGCAAAGGAGGGCAGACCAGCGATAAAGCAATCACAACTGGTCCAATTGGAAAGTTGCACACATGGATCTGTCATCAAGTCAGGCGCAAGCAAATCGGTGAAAATGCATTCGGAAGGAACACATTGAAGCAGTCTGGCGCAAAGCCCAACCGCGGCAAATGGAGTTACTTGTAGCAGGCAATCCGTCCACGCAATCATCGGTATATCGGGGCTTTCGAACACATTTTGGCGCGACGGCCAATCCATCCCTGCGGAGTCATAATCATCGGTGAATGTCACCATATATGACAAATCAGACATGTCGGCAGGGACACCTACTGCCAGCATATAGGGCTCCATGTAGCAGGGAATCCCGGAAAAACTGGGTGCTGCAAAGAGTCCGGCGTAGTTCATTTTCAAAAGAGTGTCGTCGTAGGCAGCGCGGCGAGATACTTTGTCGCTGATTTTTCCCTGACGAAGACCGCTACGAAAAATCTCCTTCGCAAACTTCGCAACATTCGCCGGTATCATCATGGCGAAAATGAATGCAAAAAAAAGACCAGCGCTTATGGTCGCGACCTTGCAGCATGGATTCATGTCTGTGGCGTTGTTCGTAGGCAAGACAGCGCTTAAATCGCATGAAGGAATGATTGATATAGGATATAGAATATCAAGGAATGATACAAGATATGTAATGATGTGGGATAATAATAATAATTGGATTAGGAGCTGGGTATGTAGAGAGACAGAGAGGACTTGAGGGGAAATGGCAGTGTTCCTGACCTAGACTGAAAATGGAAAAGTGAGACGGGGCTGCTAAGCAGCCCGGATTCCCAACAGGAGAGGGTTACTCTATACTGTCTTAACGTGGAATAGAAAGGGCTCAGTAGGCTGAGCCTATGGTCCCTGGAGTAGAAGGAAGGGAGTAGACCTGGAGGGGAAGTCGAGGAAGAGTCAGGAAATAATCCTCGAGTTTGGGAGACGTAGACCAATGCGATATTTCTTCCTGTCAGCTAAATTTATCTTTTTGTGTTGTGCATGCCAAGAATTCATGCAATGTAGAGAACGAAATATATCATCCAAGAATCCAATCCGCTGATCCCATTGGTCGGACGAGACTTCAGACGTCTGAGTTTCGAGCATGGTCCAACGATCTCTGACGCTGCGTTGGGCATATTATGGTTCACAGGGGAAGAAAACGAGAGTAGTTCGCCGTAGGAACTTGGGGTCAGAGATCCTGAAACTTCAGTCCGTCTCGTGGGGGAAAGCGCAGAAGCTGAGATCTCTGTTCCCCGCCCCCCAGCGCCGCGCGACGCGCCCACCGTGGCGTGTTCGACTTCTGCTGCCTCTCGCTTGACATGGAGTGACTTTTCGAGATCGCCGACCCCGACTTCGTACGGCGAAGTGCTCTCAGCTTCTTCCACAGTGGCCCGGAATATGCCGAACGCAGCGTCAGATATCGTTCGGCCATCGTTCAACCCCCTCAATTATCATTTGTCCGAATCCCGAATAATGAACCGTTCGTTCTGTGTATGGCCTGAGATAGGACAAGGCCTGTCGGTAGATCGGATTGATAAACATATTGCGCTCCGCGCCCTGAATGAAGGCATTTGGGATGTCAATTTGATGGCACTTGGCCTTGTGCGTGACTGCTGCGGCGAGTACTAGCCGACAACTGGCAGGAGTGGCCATCGGACTACAGGACGCGTAGAGCGTACTCCAGACATCTTCAAAGCGCTAAACACAAACTGAAAACCAATGTCCCCGTGCCCATCCAAGAATCTTCTGGAAGAACCTAATGTGGCTGCGCCACGCACGCCCAACTTCGTTGGGCTTTTCGCTTTTTATTCAGATAAAATCATACTCATCCTCTTCTCTTCTTTAATTCGGGCACGACGCTCGCGAGCCTATTGATTTCGCATCAATCTCTTTTGTTCATTCTCTAATCTTTTTTCTTCGAACCAATCCTTACAAAACTTGGCTAGGTATCCAAGTAGTCCTAGAGTATCCCTTGAGCTGCTAGCATGATGGTCCAACGATCACTGACGCCGCGTTGGGCATGTTCTGCCTGATGGGGGGTAAAAAAAATGAGTTCACTTTGCCGTTGGAACTCGGGGTCGGAGGCCTCGAAACTTCAGTCCGTGTCGCGGGGGAACACGTAGAAGCCGAGATCCCTCCTGCCCGGCCCCTCAGCCGCGCGACGCGCCCACCGTGGCTTGTTCGACTTCTGCTGCCCCCCGCACGACATGGAGTAATTTTATGAGACCATCGACCCCGACTTCCTGCAGCGAAGTGATCCCACTTTCTCCTTCCGTGGTCCGGAACATGCCGAACCCAGCGTCAGCGATCGTTGGACCATCATGTTAGCGGCTCAAGGGATACGCCAGGACCACTTGGATACCTAGCCAAGTTTTGTAAGGATTGGTTCGTTAACTTTATGCTCAGCGTTAGGCGGCTGAGTTCCAACCTTCTTTCTTCTCTTTCTTCGGCTTCAAAAGCACCCGTATATTTCTTACGCCAAAACACCTCCCTCTTTTTATACCACACTTTCCATAGTTCCTCAAGAAATGGTCTCCATTCTGGATCTAATTGCAAATAAGACACACTCCATTTCCCACACACGGCGCCTCTAAACCACTCCCTAAATGGTAGAAAAATCGTGATTTAGGACTCCTTTTGTGGATTTTTTTTTTGTGATTTAGGACTCCCACAATGGTATTAAAAGCCGTGCCCACGCGCGCGTGGTTAGGTTCAGCCGAGAATCCGTTAAGGGAAACATTAGCCTACTCCTAAATCCTGTGATTTTACTTGACCTTTTGTATGTGGCTACTTTGGTCAAACCCAGATTCTAGGATTCCTCTATTTAGGATTCCCATCAAGGTTCGGGCGGCGCGGGCGCCATGGGCGGGCAGCAGGACAAATTCGCCGTCGCGCCGGACTCGACTGCCGTGCTCAGCGACCACACGCCCATCTTCGGCTGCTTCGAGGAGGGCGCCAACGGTCTCAGCGTCGAGGAGGCCTGCGCCCACCGGGACCGCATCGCGTCCTACTTCGTGCGGCGCGTCGTGCCCAACGGCGCGTCGATCTTCAGCCACAAGGTCGGTTTGAGGGATTTAGTTATTGTGGAGAAGGGGGGTTTGCGCATGGTGAGCTACAAGGCGGGCAGCGCGAACGGCCGCGACAGCGCCAAGAACAGGACTGTGATCAAGGTCGTCGGCGAGAACGAGATGCTCGGGCTTGTGGAACTCGTGCAGAACGTGGAGCAGGAGGCTGACGAGGCCACGGGCAGGATGCCGACGGACGTGCTCGCGCAGGGCAAGACGTACCTCCTCGTGCTGAGCCAGGACAAGTACATCAAGGAGATGATGGCAAAGCGCGACTCCGACGTCGCCTGCGGGCTCTTCTGCGACAACCTGCTAAACCTGACCAAGGACAAGGTCCTCGCGTGGCTCAACAAGGTGAGCGTGCTCCAGTCGCTCGGCAAGCCCGCGCTCCGGAAGCTCGCGGACGTGGCCCACTTCCGGTCCCTGCCCGGGGGCAAGGTCGTGCTCAAGCAGGGCGACCGCGCGGAGCGGCTCCACGTCATCCTCTCCGGGTCGCTGGACGTCGCGTGCAAGAGCGACATGCGGAAGACGATCGTCGGCCAGCGCGACTCGACGACGCACGACGGCAAGAAGCAGGTCGTCGTCGGCAACCTCCACGAGGGCGACTTCTTCGGCGAGAGCGCGCTGCTGAGCACGGAAGACTCGGAGCGCGGCGCCGTGCCCCTGACGTCGACGGCGTCGGTGCTCTCGACGACGCAGTGCCTCTTCATCTACTTCGACACGCAGGAGCTCCGCGCGCGTTTGGAGGAGATGCCCGAGGTCATGGAAAAGATCAACGCCTACATCAAGAACCGGCTCACGGGCCAGCTCCTGGCCATGAACTTGTCGTTGTTCGAGGCCATGCGCCCCGCGTCCGTCGCGCTCTTCACGGCGAACCTCGTCGTCCAGACCTTCAACGACGGCGAGACCGTCTTCGCCAAGGGGTCCAAGGGCACGGACTTTTACGTGCTCATCCAGGGGTCCGTGGAGATCGCCGTCGACGAGGACGAGAACGTCGTTTTGGACAAGAAAGGCTCCTACTTTGGGGAGCTGGCCCTGATCCGCGAGGAGCCCCGGGCCGCGGCGGTGAAGGCGCGGGGTGCGACGATCCTGGCCCGCATCTCGGGGGCGAACTTCAAGAAGCTCTGCCTCGGGTCGCCGTCGGTTGCCGCGGAGTTCGAGATCAAGGCGCTGGGCACCAAGGCGTCCGTCGGCGCCATGCTCGTGCACCCGCGCACAGCGCCGCTCCTGAAGGCGTCGCTCGACAAGGAGCTCGCGACGGAGAACTACGAGTGCTGGGACGCGATCGAGGCATTCCGTTTCGCGGCCGAGACCGCGGCCGATGACAAGCTCGCGGAGCAGGCGCTGGCCATCTACAAAAAATGGATCGACACGACGACCGACGACCAGGTGAATCTCAGCGGCAAGGTCACGCGGGCCCTGAAGACCTACTTCGACGGCGCGAAGCTGTGCCGAATTCAACCACTGGTTTGGGTGGTCCTGACCAAACTTCAAACTCTCTAGCTAGGTCAAATCAAAGTCGATTCGGCTGACTTTTGGACGAATCGATTTCTCTCGTCGAGCGCTCGAAGCAAAGCCGAAGAGCTCGCGTCGAAACTGTCGCGTACGCTCACATTCAAGTCGGGTTGAAGATTTGGATTCGGCACAGACGCGAAGCCCGCTGACCGGCCGCCGGTCTCCGTATTCGACAGCACGCAGAAGTGCATTTCCAACAATCTCAAGGGGAACCTCCAGCGCTTCTGCGTGACGGCCGAGTACAAGGCGTTCCTCGGCGAGCTCAACGTCTACAAGAAGGGCAGGAAGTAAGGACTTGGAAAGTTGGTGGGGGAGGGACGCCTTGCCTCGGACCGGCTCGGTTGGCGAAGCACATGATCTGCCGCACCCCCGGGTCACTTTATGGAGGTAACTTGCCCTCAGCCTGACTCTTGGCTAGGGTATGGTAAAATCTAGTTAGTAGACTCCCTACTCAAGTAGGCAGCCTAATCTGCGATCGGGCTCTCTGTCCTCAATCGCTGGAGTTAAGTGAGTAAGAAAGAAAAGGAGCAACGTCATAGAAATCCAGATATGTATCCTTCGTCGCTAAGAGTCCACGTTGGGCCCTCCTGAAGTCATGACAGCGGTTCCTAAGTCCTTTGCGCTAGAGCGGGTTTTCCCATCTCTAGAGGCGATCGAAATTTTAATATTGGTAAGCTTGTTGCCTTTAACACGCCCCTGGTTTATTGTCAAGAACATGTCTCTCAACACCATCCACAAGTCAGCTATGGTGGGGTCGTGCATGATGGAGAAGGGTACTCCAGTCATATGACTGATACCCATCAGGAAGGATACTCCTTCTGGCGCGCCATCATTGGCCGCGCCACCATCCTCAGGGAGACTCATGCC